TTCCAGCAATATATGTGACATTAGCTACGCAAAGCGATGCGCACACGCGAATATAAACAGTTCCAATTAGCTGTCGGGAAATTGTTTTGCTCTGCTGATGAAGAAGATGGAGGGATCAGCGGGTAATTCAATGGACAACATGTTTTTGAAGAGTTGTAGTAGTCTGAAGTGCTTCAAAGACAATTGTGGTGATTGATTGAAAATCTATCAATTTTCCTCTAGTCCAGAGTGCAATCTCATGGCTCTCTCCCTGATAAATAGATTTATCCAGAAGCACTTATCCAAAAACTAGTTTCCGCCGTACAACTAACCCACATTGATTGGGAACTACTGAAATGGCATCGTTTAATGACACGCATCGTTTGCCACGAGGTCCGAGGCCGATACACTACGGGTCTACGCCAGAAGACGAGTTTACGGCGAAGAAAATGAGGGGTAACCGTCATCCCTTACTCGACATTATCAATTTGCATGTGATTGAAAAAAACAGACCCTTGCGGTCGTTTGTTCGAAGATATCGTTACACGGATGGCATTCTGAGCACTATGGTATGGTAATGCGACGGCGGCAAAGACAATGGTAATTTATAGCTAAGGCGCTGTTTATACAGTAAACGCTCGACAGGGTGCCACCGCATGGACAGCATCTGCTGTCTTTCTCATTATGTAAACGAGACTCAGGGTGTCCGATTAATCTCCTTATAAGGAGAAATGCATATCCCGACTTAGAAATTTGTCTGCTGTTGAGGGGGTGGAAGCAGGTGGAGCTGAGTAGCAGAAGCATGTGGGATATGGAATAGCATTTGAAGGTAGGAATTAAGAGGGAGCGCGCTTAGAAAAGTTGCCGTATCCCTATCAGATTTTCTAAAAGAGATCTTATAGAGGCACTTTGCGAGAATGTGCGTGAATTTTTTAGTTTACAATGTCGTACTTTTTTTACTGGAATCTAGCATCTCCACAAAGACAGGCCCAATTGCGCTATTAGCTTCCTTGTGCTTAAAATACCCGTTATCAAGAATTGGAAATTGGCGAGTTCATCTGTGTCGTGTGTAGGCAATCTAAATGCTATCTTTCATTCTTTTAAATCCTTAGTTGGGCAGCAGTCTGACGTTGCTAGACTAATGGTAATCATTAACGGCTGCTTCTAGCCAAAAGGGAGAATTTGAAGTATCAGGCATTGTATCAGTTGCTTACTTATGAAACTGATTAGTCTTCGTAAGACGAAAAGAACGTTAACAACAGACTACCACGGCTCAACCGCTTAAAACGTTTGCGTTCTAGCAGTCTGACATTGGATTGGTCGAATTGAAAACTTTTTGGCAGCTCATCTTGACTTTACTCAATCAAAATTGTTTTGACTAGACCAAAAATAATCTGTCTGTCTGCTAATATATTTCATAAAGATAAAGGGCAGCGTTGATCCGCACCGTAGTTACCCCGGATTAAGGAATCAGTCATGCGTTTTGATTAGCATAAAGGGACTGGACGTATTGTGTTTAACATATGCGCGAGTAGCCCCAGGAGGCAGGTCAGTATTGTTAGTCGAGGGAGAGTTAGTGAAAGGGAATCGGGTCATATCCGGGGGTGGATCATCTCTAAGGCTCGTTGTTTACTTTTTTATCCCTAACAGGAAAGTATGGGATTGAAAATTGATAAATTCTGTTTTTCTAAGCTACACAATGCTACCTCTCAGGACACCTTCGTACATGTACTAACGGTACTTACTTCCGCGCAACGGCATTGTTATGTCGATAATCGAATTTGGCACGATGGTGCAAGGTTATAACGGCGCCAAGAGAAGACTCGTCGGTCCTGGGATAATTACAATGTGAGTGACGGCAAAGTTGATGGCTGCTAGAGGTCAACGAGTCCGCCTGAACACCGCCGACCTCAGACCCCCTGGCGAGACCGGAAGGTTACGCAACACAACGGGTTAACTCTCATTTGGTGATGGCCGAAGTTTTTGAGAGGGAATTTGGAAAAGTGCAGGTTTACTAGTTTCGAAATTTGCCCTAATTTGCACAATATCGCCAACTGTCAATTCAGGTAGAAGAGCAACAAGTGATTTTGTTAACGCTTGATTTTCTCTATTTTAAAATTTCAAATAAGTTCTCTACTACTATTTTGCACTAAGAAGAAGGTAGCTATTGCTTTTGCATCTGAGCCGTTTTCAAAACATTAAAGATAGTTTGGGCGAAATTTTAAAAAATTGTTTGATGAAGATTAGCAAAACTGCATCTGCTTTTTTGCATATGGTCTTTTATACATTGTTCCAAATTT